CACCATATTCATCCTACACCAACCTCCATTTTATCTGTAGTCCACCCTTTGATAACGCTCCACCCTATTTTACCCTCCCAGCCCATACAGGATAACCCCACAATAATGTGCATTCCAAAATTCTTTACAAAAATCAGACCGTGAACAATTTCAAAGACCAAAATAAACTTCTCTACTTTTCAAGGGTCCTTGAAACTTGGGAATACACACAAAACCCTGGGCTGCTTAAGGTGCAGTAGTCTGCATACTGGGTCAGAAAAAATACTTCTTGAATTGAATATTTATATCAAATAGACTTAATGCACACCACCAGAATAATGTGGGATTTTTAGGAAACAGTGCAATTAGTCGATTAACTGAATGGAACATCGCATAAAAATAGCTTGCAATCATGGCAATAACATTGTGCAAGTTCTGATAGAAAAATATGCAATGAATTTATTGAGTGGAAAATAACAAAAATATCACTAGTATATGAAGCATGCATCTTTTTGTTAAGAAAAAAAAGAAATTTTTGGTACAAATTCACTGACCAAAGATACAAAACCAATATTATGACATTGGTCCTTTTGATTTATCACCAAGGTCCTTTCTCTCTCTTATCACACACTGTTATCAGTGGCTGTTTAACTGGGGTACTGCATCTAAACCACAACAGGCATTAAAACAGTAGTCAGCAGCAGTCATCAGTAGTATTTTAAGATCAGAGGAGGGTGCCCTGATATATATATATGGAATTAATCCCCCACGTTCTACAATTACTTGACACATACGTATATATTTACATATACCATCATATTACAAATCCTGTCTTTTAATTTTCATCGTAACGTCTTATCTCAATTGATATCCAATCAGGGCAACTCTTGAATCATACAATCATATATCTTATTACATATTTAAGACAATTATGAAATATATTAGAAGTCATCTAAATATAGGTATAAAGCAACATTCCACTTCATCTTCATCGATCATCATATAATAATAATAATAGCTATAGTCTATACTCAGTATATTTTAAAAGCGTGATGCATTCGAATACAGTAATTTAAAAAATCTCATCAATATGATACATTCTAAGCTTAATTCGTAAGAGTTTTGAACAACTGGAGATAAAAAATCAATTACGATACCATTTTCACTATTTAACAAACTTATAATATCTCTGGTTACCAATTAGATCTTGTATAACAATTACATTTGAACAATACAGATCTTTCACTGTGTGTAGTCTGGGATTGTAAAAACTACTCAAGAGTTCCATTTAAACTGCTTATGAAACTTTCCAGGAAAAAATGTGGCTTTTCTCCTATCTAGGAATATTCTTAGTACAGATGCCTATACCAGAATGTTTCAGTATTTACACACACACACACACACACACACACACACACACACCAAAGAAGAGAGTGATTTATTCAACACACTTTGCAACTACTGCCTGTTAATTCTGCAGAGAAAAGTAGTAAAAGTGAATGAATTATCACCACTAAACTTTTCATACCATGCACATCATTATTTATCAATAAAAACTATAACAGAAAAAAAAACACCCTGTACCTTCTTCCACTTTGCCAGACTCTTACAGTACTGACACGGTGGCGGACGTGTCCAGTATGCCGCTACTTTGGCCATCCTGTCCACTAAATGGTCAAGAGTCCAGCAGTGACACAACAACAATAACAGTGACAACGACAATGCTGACAACAACCAACGGACACCAACAACAACAGGTCCATGCAGTGGTAACAGTGTACTGACAATGCCATGCTCCAGCAGTAACAGTAATATGGTGATGTCCACTAATGCATATCTCATGTGTCCAGTGTCCCCTCCCTAAGGCAAGCAAGGACAGTGGTCAGTCCATCCATCCTTCCATGCATGGATGACCCTGATATAATGGCTGGACAACTGGGTTGGGGTCCCCATCACTGGTCAAGTCCGTCAACTTGACATGCTTATATTTTGTGACCCGATCCTCTCTGTTATACAAATATGCACTTCCTTATATAGGGGTTGATGGTATATATTCACATGACATTGTCCATTCCTCATGGGACATGTCTCAAATTTAGTTGCCAATTCTTTTATTCAAAGATGAAAAACTTGCAAATTAATTCATAACCATATAGGTCATTTTTTGGTGAGGTGTTCAAGAATCCACAATGTTATGATGTTGTCGTAGTAAAATTATCATCATTTTTCCTCGCACAGTGGACTAATCCTAACCAGCTCAGGCTGCTTAATCTTCAAGCGTGGCGTGTTCACATGCACAAAATGGAGTGACTTTGACCAATTCCATTTCGGACTTCTATGATCACAAATATAAAACAAAGAGATGATAAACTTTTCCCCGTCCAGAAAAGAAATAACCTCACATAATCAGGTTAATGCTAAACAGACACCAGCCTAAATTACTATCACCAATAATGATGTTGGAAATGGAAAGATTCAAAACCATACTATTCTATGTGTGTGAACAGTACCAGGAAGAGGTGCAGTGCTGATGGCACTGTAACATGAGATACAGGAATTCCACACCGGAGCATTACAAGATCTAACACTAAACTTTACCCAAAAGATATAAAACATAATTTTCATTGATCTTATTAGGTTTATTCAGGTCAGATGTACTTTTCTTTATTTATTTACTTTTGTAGCTATCAATTTATTTATTACATATTTTCACAAGTAGATATACAGTAAAGACTAATGAAAATGTTCATACACTGCTACATTAGGATGTTACTGATATTCACTTTTAAACCAAAATAAGCTACAAGTGATAAAACATACTTTTGTTCAAACTTTATTTGCCTTCTAATAAGTAATTAACACATACATATTTAACAAAATACAAAAACTACCATCCCCCCAAAAATATTCCATTTTTAGAATGACACTGATTAATGAACCATGTCTAATAAAATTGATATGAGGTCCAGGTACTTGATGTACAAGACGGATGCAGGTTATCTTCCCTAAAACACCAGTTACAGTCTGTGGCTAGGTCACATAATCATTTCCTATTTTTTTTTTCTAAAATATTTTTTCATCTTAACATCTATTATATTCTGTTTTGCGTATGCCTGTACCAGTGACGAATGACACTTATGCAATTTCTTCTTGAAGTGATTTTATCTTTGGCAAACTAAGCCTCATAAAATAATTGCTTTAGGGGAATATGGGTACCCTGATAAACTTTTCGTACAGCCCCTCCCTCTTATATCATGTCCACTGGTAATAAATGATCCCTGTCCTCTATAAAAAATGACCAGTAGCAGTAATAACAAGCAAAACAATAAGATGTCCTCTGTTGCAATGTAATGGAAAGACTCACACAGTCTCTGAACATTTGTTCACAGTGGACTCTTACATACAATGTTGATATGAATGAATGAATGAATGAATAAATGACTGTGATTCAATCTCTCCCAATATAATTTATTCAACCCTTTTTTCACATGCCAATACTATGTGTATATTGTCTCTGATGTAACTGTTTGTATATTTTATGATGTGTTTCATTTGTCTTTGCATCATTATTAGCTGCTATCCTATTCTCGCATCTTTGAAGAAAGAATTACATGGTAAAAACATGATATCCTATCCTTATAAACCCTTTTTCTTAAATATTGACAAACACAATTAGATCACATTCAGAAATTTAAAATTTTAAAACTAGCAGTATTTTTGTTGTCTTTATGTCATTTCATAACTGTATTTATAGTGTAATTTTGTCAAACTTGCAATCAATAGACTCAGAACATAACTTTATATCAAAAATTCTTACCCCTCAATCTTAAATTGAAATCTAACTGCAAAATATTTCCCAAGGCCAACACAAATACCAAAATCCCAAATTTTCTCCAGTGTGTCAATCAATCCACATTCACCCACTCCCAAATAACATTCACCAAGAGGAAACTTCAAAGGGCTCAGTCCACAATAAAGACTATCCCTCCCTGTGTATTAAATTTGTTACAGTGAAGGGAAATATTTTCACACATGAACTTAAGACTGATAGTTGGTCTAAAATTTAGGTCCTTAAATTTTTGTCTACTATACTTCAGGATAAATCAGTAGAAGTCCACTAAAATAAAACAATTATTAAGAACTAAAGAAGTCATTTGTTTTTTGTTGTTTTTTTTTTCTTTTTTTCTTTATTTTTTTTCATATGCAAACAAAATTATTTATTTTGGTGGATCTAATTCTCAAGATAGAGAAGACTTAAAGCTTGTTGTTAATGTAAGATCAACTCTCAGTTTTGAGTAATATTGTCATGCCAGGTCCCCAAATGTATCACACAGCTTTCAATGTCATTTGATATGTTACAATGACTGAATTTTAACACAGAAAAACATTCTCAATGACCTCAACTGTCCATGTTAGAAAACTGACACAGCTGTAAATCTTTTTCAACTTTTCCCCAACTTCACAATACAGGACAAAGGCATTACTGTTCCTAACTGGTTATTTGTGCAGCTAACTAAGTGAAACTGTGACTTTTGATAAAGTGATGCTGGTATTCCAGGCAGCAATGCTATCATTCTTTCACAGGTGTTCTGAGGACACTCCGCTACCAGCCTATTCATACTTGTTCACCAACCAAGAAAACCACATCCATTTTGTCCATTGAATGGTGTGAAATGATTGTTAAACAAGAGCACAACAAGCAAAATTTCCCTGTTATCTGAAGCACTGTGGAAAGGTATAAGCCAGCCTTCAAAGGTATGTTTAACAACAACGGCACTGGATAGAGGTGAGAATGGGGCTCATCTTGGTTTTATCATGTACATGCTACCATCTATTAGCCTCCTTTGAAATTAGTAAAGAATTACCCACTTGGTACTTTTCTTTTCCTATATTTTCTTTTCTTTGTTTGAAAAAAGATATTTCTCATATAAAATCACCTGCAGAAGAAAAATATACAATTGCAAATGTGGTCTGAGTAGAGCTGGGGGGGGGGGGGGGTAGGAGTTTATAAAATAGCCCACCTTTTTATTCTGTACCCCTGTCCCTGGCAATGTGTGAGCCTTGTCTGCAGGTAGATGCATCTTGTTGTCTGCACGCTTCAATGGTGGAGTTTTGCTTCTCAGAACCACTTCTTTCTCCATCTTCATTGCCTCTAGTTTCTTGTGCTGTGCACTGCCCTGGAAAGACAAACAACTTCTAATATCAAAGTTTAACATGTGCAAAATTAATAAGAGTGACAGTCAGAAATAAACTATATACATAGCCATACAGTCATTCATTTTATGGTATATATATACAATAAAGGATTAACTTAGGAAAAAAAATTAAAAGCCTGAGATGGGTACCAGTTTTATATTCATTCAATTATTGGAAAGATATGAAAATCAATACAACTGGTGATGAAAATGCAGAAATCTCGAAGAAATTATGGCAAGGAAAATTAAGTTTACACATAATTTTCTCTATGTGTGATCAATGGATGCCAGCATAAAGATAATTTATAATCACTTAATCATGTGGCAAAAACTACCAATTTCTATTACAGCAGACGTCCTATGAATCTTTTTGAACATATCATACCTGTTTGCTACCACAGTGTGTGAGACTGTGCTGAGAACTATTCACCGACTCTGTATCACTAGTTGGTGTCGTGCAAGGGGTGTTTCCACTGGGAATACGACGAATCCAAATCACCTCATCCTCTTCGCTCTTCACGCTACCTCTGCTTCCTCCCATCCTACCTACATCCTCGTCAGGAGTTCCTGCCGCAGAGTCCGTATTAAAGCTATGACTGGTCGGTAATATCACGGCACATTGCCCATGGGACTCCATCACTGTAGAGAGCCCAGGAACGTGCTTTTTAGCCTTCCCGGAGATTCCCAGAGCGGGTCTATCAGGACTATGTAGCCTGGCACTTGCCTGCCCTCCATTAGCAAGCAAAGTAGTTCTAAGCGAATGGGGAACTAAGGCCTTGGGTTCCACATGCTCCGTTTGGCATAAATCAGCTTCTGACTGAGCTGGACTCTTCTGCATATACTGGTGAGCGTAAAATTTCTTATGCATGCTGTCCAGAAGTGACGTAGGCGTCAACAGCTCCTGTGGTGTCCCCGTTTCTGGTGACAGTCCCGTGGAGGAGTTTCCCACTGAGGTGACACTCCCCTGGAGTGTGGATGTGCTGGAACTGTTGCTATAACTTGACCCATCATGAATATTTGACTCTAAACTTATATCATTACACTGGCCGCCGCTACCATCGCTAAAGCGTTTTTTGTATTGCACATTGCTGTCCATTTTGTCAGCCGTTTTGATATCAGCAGTAGAATGTATTGAGCTCCTTTTTGATGAAATTTGCACTTTTATATAATTGCTATTACCAACGAGGCTTTTCTGAGCATTGTCCAACTGCCCTCGGCCATTGCAAAATTCTAGTCTTGATTCCGCTTGAATAGCTGCAGGACTTTTACCAGAATTGTCTGCAAACCTGACACTCTGTTTGACAGAGCCATTGGCAATTGTGTTAAACTTTGTCATGCTGGGAGTATTAAAATGTACGTTCCTTTGATTATTATGAGCATTCTTTCTTTCGAGAGAATTTGTCGGGGTTCTCTCTTCCGAGTTTCTTGGAGTATTTCTGGGAGTAAGCTCATCTTCTCCATTCACAAATTCACCATTAACATGAACATCCACTACCACCACCTGCTGACGGCAAGACGGGGCCAAATTGGAAGATGGCTGTTTTTGGGAATCGGATCGTATCGTCTGTGTTGAGGAATCGCGCTCATTCTGAAAATTCCCGAGGTCACTTTCATCTACCATCAAATCATCATCTACTTCCACCACTGCTTCCAGTGGTGTCCTTGGAAACATTGACCACACCTCCCTTCTAGAATCCTCCTCTGTTTGAGTTGCCCTGGAAACCTTCCTGGTTGTCATGACAACAGTTTCATTGGATGCAACAAGCTGAACTCTCCCTGTGGGTGGGCATTTCTGACTAGTGTTTGACTCAGATTTTACAGCACTGACCTTGGTAACAAACCCATTTTGGCTTTTGTCATTTCCACAGCATCCTTTTTCATCTGGTTCTTCTAGTTCCTGTGATGGCTTTAATTTTTCAGCATGGCTGACAATGTCCAGACTTGTTGGCCTCTTGGGTCTGTTAATGTTTTTCTCAATAATATTGCACTGTGGTCTCTCTAATAAGGATGCTAGTGTCCCTTTCTGTAACACTTTCTCATGGTGTTCAGAGTTCAGGTTGCGGTCAATGGTATTCCCTTCAACCTGGCTGTCATGGCTATGTTGTTTTTTCTCTTGTTGTCCACTGCTGGTCAAGTTTTCATATTGCACATTGGTGGTCAAATATGGCCGGTTCTGGTCAGTGTTGGTCAATTTAAGCCCCCCAGTGGGAGTCCTGGGTGGTTCAGAGACAGATCTCTTGTTACGGTTCTCATCTTCTGAGGTAACCAACTGACCCTTGCTGCCCTTTGGTGATGATGATGATGATGACGAAGATGATGAAGTCTCTGCTAGTATGACTGGTGAAGAAAATCTCCTCCCTATGTGAACATAGTTTGGTGAGAGAGGAGGTGGAGGTGGAAAGTAGACTTCAATCTTGTCATTTCGTGGAACTTTCTTTGGAGGTGGGTCTGGCGGATCCTAAAACGAACAAAACAAAGAAGAGTGTTAGCAATCAGTACATGGCATTTTGTCTTGACTGAAACCCAAACACAGCAGTAAAACACATAATTCCTGAAGTTCCCCAACGTATTGCAATCAACAACAGAATATATAATGCTGAAAACCCTAGTTGAACACGTTACATGTAGCCTTGGCACTCCGTACACTGTGGAGGTACTACTTTTCTGGTAGATACAGACGAGGCTAATACTTGAAAAAGAACCCAAATCATCTGCAACAAATCTATGCAATTTCTTTCACCACTTACAAAATCTTGTAAGCAGCCAGCAATGAGAAAACAAATTAGACGTTTAATGGATTGCTCTGGCAACAAAACAATGGTTTAAAGGTGAGAGGAACAACCCATACAACTCTACCAAACCCACTTCAGTGAAAGAAAAAAAAACCCAAACAAGTGGTACCGATTTACATTACTCATTTCTCAAAGCATTAGATTCATTCTCCCTAAAAACATCCGGTATTTGATTAAATTTTATGTGTTTTGAAAAGCAAGTTCATCTATTGAGAAAACCATGTTTTCTAAATACATGTTTGTTTGGATGTGGGTGATATCAGGGCTTGGATTACTAGGAAATGTTGTCAGCATTTAAAGACATGTTCCCGTTATCAGTCTTAATAATCTACAGTCGTATAACCCTGTACAGAACATCATGTGCATGCACTTACGCATGCCTGCACATGTACACATAAACACTCATGCACACATATACGCAAATATTCATATCCATTCATACACTCACACAAAGATACGTGCACATATACACGCAAGTAAAAAACAAGCACATACAAATCAAAGCTATTACAAAATCATAAAGCTATAGAAAGCAACATTTCTTGTTAAAGTATTACAGATCTCAACATGGGGCTCAAAATTTCATCTTTACATTAGCACAGGTAGGAAGAAAGGGGAATCCTCTTTGCCCTTTTGCTTTCTGTGCTTATGACAGAGACTGTTCAAAAACGAAAGGGGAAGGGGCTGTGCCCACCTACCCCCTCATCCCAACCTCTGACGCCTATGTTATCCAACATGTATGCTAAATTGACATATTTACCTGTCAAAATTATTTCCATTTAGCTCAGATCTAACAGGTCGAGCCTTACTTGGTTCTTCTTAATAACACACTACTTGTAGCACGCGCTTTGAAGTTGTTCAGGAAGCACGGCCGATAAAACTCCCCTAACACTATCTGTATGTGATAACAACCCAGCCTGACCAGTACCCAGAAAGCAATTTTCTCAACGTGAACTCTGATTAGAGAGGTTTACTTGTAGTTTTTAGGTAGAAATGTCGGAGCAAAAAAAATTTTTTTTTTCAAAACTGCTTAAAGATCAAAGAATCAGCAACTTTCAATGACTTTTCACTTTACTATAAAGGTTACTTATCTTTGGTATCAGAAATTGCTTGTTCAAAAGACATAATTTCCAAACTACTAAAAGATTCCAGGCAAATGGAGATTCTTACACTGAACACCTACCTTAATGAATATATATATATATATATATATATATATATATATATATATATATATATATATATATATATATTTGTATTTATATTTTTTTTTCATCTTTTGGGCACATAATAACTGATTCACAAACTCTGTATTACAAAAAAATTGTTTTCAATGAAAATACTATTTTAAAAATAGAAACTTACCAGTGATCATTATTAACATTCTTTGTGCACAAATAACAGATTCAGGTGATATCTTTTAGTTTCATATTACCAGTAGATAATGACTCATTCAGAAACCCCCCTTTCATGAAAAAAAATTCGTGTGGCAATAATGTTTTTACAATAAAAACTTACCAGTGAATGCTCTTTGTAAATTTTGCATGGAAGTAACAGATTCAGGTGACATCTTTGGGTTTCAAACTACCAAAAGATCCTGCAGTCAGCAACGACATTAAACTGAACAACTCCCCATAAACATTGCATGCACAATGTCTGCAGAAATATAAATGGCACATGAATTAAAAACCTGGACACTTCTGGAAAACCCAACGGCTCAGGTGCTCTTCTCACCACAAAAACCACCAGCTGCTACCTGATCTTGCTGGAACATTCCACTTACCAAGACAAACTCCAATATATCTACATATATAATATTCTCTTTTTTTTTTCTACACGATCTTACCCGTTTACCTCTTGCTGTGTTGGCAATTAGTTCTATATCAGTAGATAATCTATAAGTGAGCATTCCACTGCTAACTGCCTCTAGCTCCCTTCTGAATAGAGCAAGTACAGTAAATGTATAAAAGCTCTTCTGAGGTAACATGCACTGGTTATGTCAGGGGAATGTGTAGAAGTACAGTAAAACGTATTTAGTTTTCTTCGTCTATAGCCACAAAATTTGCACTACCAATGCAAACTGTAGTTACTTTGGCAAACTGCAACCAAAGCACCAATAAAATTAACAAAAACAATGTCCCATGAGCCTTGGAAAGATTTTTAAGCAAGAAGCAATCCACAGCAACTCCATATTTTCCCTCTAAAATCTAAAAAATCTCATATTTTATGACAATATAATATTACATCTGCCAACTGCAACTATGACGTAAAACAGTGACATGAAATGGCAGAATTATTTAACTGCTAAATGAAAAAAAAAATTACAGATGAGATTACTAATATGCATTTTCATGATGAATGTGCATGATTTGTTTAATTAGCAAGTTTCGGTGACAACATTTATGGAGTACAGAATATGCAACAATGTTATTCTTCAAACAGCAAAAACAGCATTTGACTTTTAGATCCTAAGTTACATCTTTTCAATTTTACAGTAACTGCAGCAACAACAATACAGCTAATTGTGCCCGGAGAAGTAATGATTTTGTAATCATGAGAACTGACAGCATAACTGAAAGTGTTGCCAGGAATTGAGAAATCAATGAGAAAAACGACAAGCAATCAATTGTAATGAGCATTCATAAGCAACAAATGAATAGACACATGGGACACCATTAAACATGGAAAAAATTGACAGACAAATCTCTCTACCAAAAAAAAAAAAAAAAAATGGACCAGCGAGAGAAAAAGTATGAAAGAAATTGTCAGGAATCAATTTGAATCATTCCAGGAATAATGAGAGACAATAAACACAAGAGAAAGAACAAGTGCTATGTAATATAACGTGTCATCTAACGTGGGTCAAGGACACTATGTCTATATGTCTTAAAAGATGAGTCTGACTGAAATACATCCGTAGTACTGGCTCCACAAACACAAGAAGTCATAATACACCACGGAGATGAAACATCTTCACATTAATTGCAATCTTATGAAAATAAATACAAAGATAATTAAAAGAATATTGTACTAGAATAAAATATTAATAACTAAGGGAATAAAAAAAAGATCATCAATTAAGTGTTTTACTAAAATACAATAGTAATACTTGTTTGAACAAATGATTAATAAACAGGGAAAGATAGCTTACAAAATCTGACTATTGGCTTTTTCTGCACAAAGGTGTCTTGTGCTTCAAAGATGAAAGTGGACCTTTAAAAATTTGATTATTGCAGGCGCTGAAGGCACCTAGCTCTGTGAGGGGGGGGGGGGAGGCATAATTACAACACTTTTACATAGGGGCTACCGAATGAATCTGGTACACTTTCATCTCTATGTGTCTGTCTTGAGAATTCAATCACATTAGTTTTAAAAAATATTTCATAAGGACAGAGAAAGGTGGCAGATAGAAATAAGGGTTTCATTATTTGCACCCCATCCCCACCCCTCCAAATTCATTGTCAAATGGAACTCATTTCTTAAAACTGCAATCAAAGACTGCTACAAAAACATCAATCCTTTTCTATTTGTCTTAACCCCATATGACTGTGTGTGTGCACTTTTTTTCTTTTCATTTCAAACAACCATGTTTTGAATTAGGGAAAATATGGAAAATAAACACTGTTTTTACTTTAGGAAATGAGCATTTCAAAGTTGATCTGCTTTTCTATTCTGACCCTGGGTGAACTATCAATTATGCACATTCTTGTTTAAAGGAACAATGCCTTGCCACTCTCCCAAAGGTGTAAAACTATTTGCCAATATCCCAGTCCAAGCTTTGAAGTGCAGCCATCAAGCTCTCTTGAGACTAAAAGTATTTCAAAGGGAATGAAAGACTTATCACTCCCAGTATATTATCACTGCTGGCGTTAATTTTCGATATGTATATGACAAACAACAGAAGTTAACTATGTCAATTCTTTAATTGTCTTTTTTAATTGTGAATAATTGATCCTGCAAAAATTGGCAACAATAGGACAAATAATCATTTTTTGCCATAGTCCAACTGAATTCTAAAATAAATTCATCTAAATTGCTATGTTATCAAATGCAAGTTTTCAAAAGACGAATGAATAATGCAACAAAATGTAGTTTCCAGACTCCATCCACATATTAACCAAGCACCTCATTTTGTTCTTTTTTTTTCTCCAGCAACAGACCAGTTATTATAGCAATTTTTCTCCCTTTTCACAGAAAACACCTCTGCTGATTTTGAGCCTAGCAAAATATCTTACAAAAACATCAATGTTGTCCCTGTAGTAATGGGTTGATCGGAAAATATCACCCCACCCTTATTATATACCAGAAAACTGTTTTGGTTACAAACAGGTATACAACATATGCCAGGGGTGGGTGCCATTCTCATTTCAAGAGCTGAGGAGTGATTTACTTCAAAAATTTTTTTTTGCCTTTGAAATTAATATTTTTATCGTCTTGCTTTGAAGTGAGTGAATATATTTTATGGTGAAAGTTGAGTTAATTTATGAGAAAGAATCAAAGATATGAAAGGAACAATTTTGGTCAAGCATACGACACTAATGACATCTTCCGTCTCCAATTCAAAATGCTCCTAACTTGCTTTTTTGATTTATCTTTTCAGTTGTTAACTTCTGTTACCTTATGTCCAATAAGAATGATTAAGAGATCCCCTTTGTATGTTGCTATACGTTACCCTAAGAGTTTTTTGTTTTTGTTTTTTTTACATTATTTCTTAAGAGATCCCCATTATATATTGCTTACTCATAAACTTGACTTTTTTCTTTTAATATATATATCAGCCTGATAAAATTACTTTCAACTTTGAAGATATATATCCATAAAACTCACCTTGGCATTTTCTTCATCAGACAACTGCAATTCATCCAGCCTACACTTAGGCTGCGTTCACATGAAAAATCTATTTTCTAAAAATCTATTTTCTATTTGCGGTATCTTGTGATCACTCCAACCGCAGCCGAGAATTAATTACAGCTTTGGAAGTAACTGGCTCGTAATTATGCCGTGGGGTATTCAGGGCACACACCGTGATCACAAGATACCGCAAATAGAAAATAGATTTTTAGAAAATAGATTTTTCATGTGAACGAAGCCTTAGTGATTTTAACCTGTCTGTGCTTGCAATAGCTTAGGCTGCAGTCAAAACAGTTTTAACTTAAAATAAGACAACTTTACTTCATTCAAATGCTGTGTAATCCCCTAAAATGCAAGCTAGCATCATATACCCATTACATATGTGTATTTTCAGATAACTAAATCTGCAATGTTTCAAGTCAAATGAACAATTGCATGTTGTCTTAATTCTGATGTGTAAAATATTGCTTATTCATTGATATCTGCTTTTTCAGATGTTCAAGCCATGAAAATGCTTCAAATATAATGTATGCTTGACTAAAATTGCCTTTGATTTCCTTCTGGTTTTTTCCAAAACTGTTACAACTATCATCAATTTCAGAATAATCAATTCCCAATCAAAAATAAAGAACAACATCCCTAACATATGTAAGAGTGCTTAGAAACAACAACCTGAGAGTGTTTCTACATAGGAATTGATAACACAGCTCCCATATCATCACTCTACATGATCAACACAAACCTCCAACTGCAATCAGACTGCCTGCTTCTGAAGATAACCTAAAAACTGCTTCAGTTAAAACAAAGCAAAAAGCGTCTACTTCCATTAGCCCCAAAACAGCTTCAGCTAAAGCAGAGCTGAACACGGCCCAGAGCAGATTCAGTGTACTGAAGTAAGAAGGTGTTATGTCTACTAAACAATACAGACTAATGCCAGAAAGTGTTGTTTATCTAAAAACAGTGAGTCAGTTAAGTTTTTTATGGTGAAAGGAGATATGTGAAGGATGTAGAGGGCATTTAGGATTATGCTTCAACAGACCATTCACCTACAGCCATCAATCATGAAAGAAAACAAAAAAAAAAAAATAAAAACACTTGGAAAAAACACTGGTGCAATGAGCTACTCACAGAAAATAAACAATTACGTATACCAAATTTACTGTAAATATATTACAATGAAAATATTTGGAAGTCCCAAATTCCCTCTGAAAAATTAAATTAAATATAAAAGAGCAAAGGTGTAAGTGGATCTTTTGAAAAAAAAAAAACAATTTGCCATACCAAATTTAATGTAAAGTAGTTAACATTATGTTGAAGCAGCTGTTACCATGTTCATATTCTTATGCCAACACCCTAAGCAAGCTAAGGTAAGCTAATCTTTTCTTGTACCAGCATACGAACAACCATTCAACAGTCATGACGAAATTAATTTACTTGTGGTCTCAGCAAATGATATTTCCCTTCATAAAAGTTATAAACCAAACAAAATTTGAATTAACTTTGATTAGGTTGAAATGTGATGTCATCTGTCTTGATCCTGTACAAGAACATAACTGTAACTAGAATATGTACAAGGAATAAACTTATGTGCACACACACACAGAGAGAGAGAGAGAGAGAGAGAGATTGAAGAAGAGCAAGTAAAATACACATGAGGAGCAAAATAAACACCCAGACTGCAACCAGCAGCCAGGCCGATAGTGATGGAACACCTGTACAGACTGGGAACATTACAACAACAATCTTCAGCAAGGAAAATAATCACTCAGGAGACATCCAATGTGTAATATTCAGACACCTGCTCACAGCAATTTAATGAACCATTTGCATCCAGCTTTTGTGCAGTCAGGAGGCAAAGCCTTGGAGCTAAAGCCTCGTTCTCTAGCTAAGCATTAACCAGGGTGTATAACACGCTGTGATATTTTGAAACATTGATCTTATATGTTTTCCAACATCTTTAAGATAGTTGTATATAAATGATCGCTAATGATCACCAGGTGACGTCATTGCAAACTTAAGATATCAGATTGACTTAGAAATGTTTCTGAGAGTATTTAAAAAATAATAAGTTAATGTGACATAGATTTTAATACTATTACTGAACATATAAACCTATTCCAGCATAGTTTTATGTGTACAGTATTTCACCCTGTTCTCCAGACAAAATATGACCTTGACAAAATAAAATCTAAAAATGCCTGATAAATAAACCAATGTAGTCAATACAACATATTTAAAACATAGCTGACATGAGTACTGAAAATGGTTTAACTCTCCCTTACCACATTCTACATTTTCTATAGATTCTATAGGTACAGCAAGTTCTATTTTCCCCTCCCACTCCACCAAAGATTACTTAATATAAGTACACATGACAATTGTTCAAAGAAACATCATGTTATAACAAACATCGAGTTTGACTTCACCATAACAAGTGAACATTTGTCTTACCTTTAACATATTTTATATCATATTTGAAACAAACATAGCATTCCACTTTAAATATAATGAGCACTTTCCTCACCTTCAATATCTCATTTTGATATTCTATCAGCTTGCTCTTATCAATAACGCTGTCCTCCGTTTGGCCATTTTGTGGTTGTGTGTTGTTATGATTCTCGTCACTTTTCAAAGGTAATTCCTCCAACAATATCACTTTATCACTGCTCGTGTGGCTGTTTGGCGACAACTTATTTAGCGCTTTCCCAAGCTCCTCCTACAAAGAACAGAAATGAAATGAGTTAGATGATTGTCTCTTACATTTTGAATCAATTTTCTTGACTTATAAATCAATGATAAGTATGTGCACACTTGCAATCACCGCTACTGTTGCAAACCATCATACGGGCTTGTGACAATTACGCAAAATAATTGCTTGGATTATAAAATGTCACAGTTCCCAAATGTCTATATTTCAATCATGTACTTAAGCTCATGATGCTCTGCCTATATAGATATAGAAAAAGAACTATAAAAATATTCATCACTGGCAAATGATATGAACCTCTCAAGCTGGTGATGACATGCAAAATTGTCTACAATATCAATAAATGTCTTTTTTATATATTATTCTAAATTACTTACTCTCCTGAAAAGTCTCAAAATCTAGAGTACGCTAAGAGGAGAGATCACAAAATCACCCACTTAAAATACGTAGTAGCATGAGGTATCCATCTTTTGTGCTCCTATTTGTGTGTTTTTAAGGAACTTCTGTTCACTTTTTATAGTACCATATGCAGTCAGAACAGAAAATGTCAACAGGACTGCCAGAAACAGACAAGTTAGGGTATTTCTGCACCAGATATCACATGAACAAGAAATGTCACTGTTTATCTGATATCTTCTATGTGCTTCAACAATTTGAGTCACACTTTAAGAGGACATTCCACTCTAATTCACAAGAGGGGGCAACAGAGATCATATTCCCCCCTTTTGACATTCTTTAATTTTGACTACCCAGGGAAGATATTCTGTTTTTATTTGCATGATCCATTTTAACACTACCCTCAACATTTTTGAAAAAAAAATTGAAAAAAAAATTAAAATAAATCAAAATATTTCCCAGACAATAGCCTTAACTTTCTCTTAAATATCAAAAGGAAGTATTTATTCAGAGATCAGCTTCATAAATAAAAAAAACAAAAGATTGGAAGTTCGTCTAAATATTAAGGATAAATATATTGTAGTCTTCTAAAACAAAGAACTTTCTAGTCTTAAGCCTTAGTTATAATTTTCTCTTCATAAAAAGGCAGAATATCTCCTTAAAGAGGACTACTTCTGCTTTGTCTTACGTCAAATTGGACTAAATTTCAGCTATGAGAGCATTCACATCAAGAAGAGCCGAGGTCTAGCAAGGCCCAGACCTAAATATGGTGGACCTTCATGAAAGGCACACCGCGTAATCCTTTAATGGTCTCTCAATGATATTCATTCATATTTAGGTCTCGGCCTTGCTAGACCTCGGCTCTTCTTGATGTGAATGCTCTCTTAGACACCAAAGTCTTACTCCTCTTTGCATGGCGCATTGGATAAATCATTACTAGTAGTAGTCTAAATAAATTAAATGTTATAAAGGCACTACTCATGTTTCAAACTTGTTTATCAAATAAATCTTGAGCTGAAGTAGACAAAATTCCTGTTCTCCAAGTCAAGATTGACAATCTGTTTAAAGTGTTTTGTAAAACCAGCCCCTGTTGTTCACAAGTCTAATCATGAGTGGGTGAGATTCATCATACCTAAGGTGTATCAAATTTTGGGAGGAAATTCTCCAGAAAAGATTGAATCATTCTGATTGCATGCATAACCAAAGAGTGGAAAAGAGAGAAGGAAAACGAGGTCATAAGTTTTCACGTTACCTCAAATAAACAGTGATGACTGAAGCCAATGGCAATTTGAACGAAGTCATCATGCCTTATACAAACACACCAATATATTTATGAATACAAAAGAATTAATTAAGACTACTAAGTTTACATTTTATTAGTTTGTGAAGTGAAATATGTCAAGTTCCTAATCATATAACCTACAAAACAGGCTTTAAAATACAAAGTAGATCCTCCTCTCCTCCTAGTTCAAACTTGAAGATAAAAAGAATTGGGTTTGGCCACTTCAATCTACACAGTCACCACGCCTTGGCATTCTAATTGAACTGAAAAAATATCACCACAACTGATTTAAGGCTGTGCCTAATTGACTTTGACAGCTCAATGACATGCTTAATTAAGGTGTTTTAAACAGCCCCCTCAAGAAGTCAATCAAGGATGTGACCATATTTTGGTCTGTTCAGACAAGACTATTTCTGACCCGATATTGGGTAAACTTTTGGCATCAAAGTTCAGGAGCACATTTTTGTCTAAAAACAGCTTTTTAGTACCCTGTTCACAATCTCCATGAGTAAAAGAAATAATTTTATTTTAAAAATTTTAGTTTGTCAGCATTTAGATAGCACAGGTTGTACTGATTGCAATCTGTGTCAGTGAATGCTCAGCATATCACAACGAAATCGTCTGAAAAAAACTTCCATGTCAATCTCTTTTCAATACATCTCATGGAAAAACATAACCTCACAACATGCAAGCTGTGCATACAAGACTGATTGCAATCAGTGTGATTGTGTCATTAGTATGTGAAGTAGATGGACTGTAGACATATGGTCCAAAAACTGTGCGAGTGAGTCCTGTAAAGCTGGGTGAAAGCTGGACAGTGCTGCCACACATTATATCCCAGACCTGAAAAGTTCAGGCAACCTTTGCATAGCTCAAATACCAAACTAACAGTTCTAACAATTTCCAGAGAACAGGGTTTCCCTGTGCATATTGACTCAAAGATCAAGGCCATTTTCTGTATTTAAAAAGTGAATAAAAGCATTTAATTGCAATAGACAGAGAGAGAGAAACAGGGGTGGGGGAGGGAGAGAGATGCATTAAACATGCGCTTAGCATCTACCAGCTTAATTACAATCAGCAAACAATGTTATACCCTCATCTGAGTGGGTACTGCCTCACAGATTTTAAACTCCTTTCCAAGACCTAATATATGAAGAGAGCACAAAATGAAACTACAGAAACTAAGTCTTTAATGCCAATTTTCTCAAAGGTGCTGCAGATCACCAGAGTTAGTGCAGATTTTTAAAAATGTAGATATCTTTATTGATTTCTCTGCAATAGCCTTACCTGATAGCTTCAGCTTTCTAAATCCTTGCACATTTGTTTCAGCTCTTTCCATTTAAAATCCACATATCTTAAAAGATCTTTAAAGAGTCCATTACATTGTTTGAAAACATAAACTGATCCAGCTAATAAAATAGGAGAGTTAATGCAATCCTTCATCTTCTCTTTCAAATCTGGAAATTGTTCTGTTCTTTTCTTTCACTTTTACATGTACCACAGAGTTCAGTGTAACTGAATGCTATCATGTACCCATATTTTGAACACTGAGACTTATCTGAAGATTTGTATCCCTCAAAACTCACTGAAAACTAATCTGGCTGAAGTCATCTGTTTCAAAGTTGGAAGTTACTCATATCTATTCTTCCAATACTGCCACAATCACAAATACAAAACTGTATCAGCATCCATCTGAAATTCATTCATCTTGTCCTATACTCAACCGCGCCAGTATTTTGAAATTCAGACATCTCGTCAAATGCTAAACTGTGCCAGTATTTTGAAATTCAGACATCTTGTCAAATGCTCAACTGTGCCAGTATTTTGTAATTCAGACATCACAGTAGATCTCCATCCCAGACATCACAATCAATCCCAGCCTCACTCACAGCAGTGATGACCTTAGAGCCTTGGCTTCTTATCTGGACCACTGCTACTGAGGAACTCTGATTTCCAATAAATCTGGTCCCTGGTATACACCCTCCTTTTTTATCTGTGGTTTACAACTTAGAAATAATATTCTCATTAAAATTCACAAGAAATTTGTATCTTGGTTTAACATTCCATTTTTTTTGTTTTGTTTTGTTTTGTTTTACAGTACTTCAGCATTTCACTCTTTTAAGCAGCAAATTGTGATATAAATCTAAATGTACCCTGAACAATTTTGAAATCAGAAAAATATTTTCACACCATGAAATGACAAAAAAACACGAAAGCTACACTGATTTTTTTCACTCGCACAGCACTTCACTAAGATGCCAGTTCAACTAAGGTCAGATTCTTCTTCATCTTGGGAAATGATGAACTCTTGGCTTGGAAAAATCATTTCACTCTTCATGATCACTAATTACATAACCAAAAAACTATCAGTTGGCATTCCACAGCAAGATAAATAGTAATAGTACTCAAGGATTAATTTCTGCTGCCAGATGGCAACATCCTATAGACACAGTCTAGCCAAGTAAATGAAAGGGGTTAATTGGCAAAATAATTTCTTCAGTTTTTTATACTTTGTATTGTAATAAGCTTACAGGGAACAATCCAGTGGTAGAAAATAACCATATTTCTGTGGCCCATTTGCTTAAAATTAAGTTACACTCCAGCCACTTTTTTCAAATTGTCTATTCATTCTTTGTCTCGAAGGTAAATACCACTTAACATTTGTCAAAAAAAGATGCTAGTGTGTATATATGTATTTCTAATTTTTTTCCTTTCCTTTTCTCCAAAGTAAATACCATATACCATTAGGCAAAAAAAGTACAAACCTAGCATATCCATGATCCATCTAGCAAAGCCGTAACAACATATCTTCAATCTATTTCCTTTTAATATTCCATGCAATTTGAGCAAACCTAGTTACAGCACTAATCAACTATGGAATGTGATAACCTTTTTACTTTCAACTCTTATCAGTATTCACATCATATTTTCTGATATCACCAAAATGAGCATTTTTCCTGTAAGCTTATTAAGACATTCCTATGGATTTTTTCCTCATTCTTTTTCCATTTTTTCACTGATTACATAAGGATTCGTCTGCTAACACTGCATGTTCAATTTCCATATCACAATTACATATATACATTGCAGCAGTTAAAATATTATATAAGGGGCCTACAAATGGATAAACAAGGGGCATCCCAAGAAGATCCCAGCAAAAAAAGGTGAATAAATCAAACTGCAACAAGCCCTAGAGCATACGCAATGGTATTTCAGAAAGTGGTTTATACTTCTATTACATATTCTCCTCCGCATACAGACACTGATATAGCGTGTTTTCCCTAATCTGATTTACTGTCTGCTGTCTGACTGCGTAAACTTCAACAACCTC